TACTTGCCAGTACAATATATCAAGTACTAATAATTCATTTGTTCTACCCAGTGATAACATGAGAGCTTCAATTAATGTTTCAATTCAAAGTAAGCTAATTGTATACGTTGCTGTAATATTAATTTCATCTTATTAGTTCCTAACAACAAGGTTCCAGTGATTAATCTCATTCCTCATCAGTCTGAGTATATTGCTGGTAGTAACATTACCCTCTCATGTTCAGTCACTTATCTCATTAACATTAATACTAATTTGACTCTACAATGGTTCAATCCATTTAATGACACTCTTAACTCTAGTACCATCATCAATGATAATAATGGACACACTCTTACCTACACTATTAGTAATGCAAGACTATCTGATGCTGGACAGTATACTTGTTCCTTCTTCATTAATACCAGTGCCCCTTATATAGTTAATAGCAATACTACCAGCAACTTCATCACAGTTAATATCAAAAGTAAGAAAATTTGTTCAATAAATTACTGAATTTTTAAATTTTAATTTATAGTACCAAATGTTCTGACTCCATATATACTGGCACATCCTTCCAAATCCTACTATAATGTTAATGATAACATTACTCTCTCTTGCATTATCAATTATACTACTGATCACCTTATTGATGTTAATACTACTGTGAACATACAATGGCTCAACTACACTCTGGACTCATATACTAAACTCAATGATCAAGACCAACACACTTTTAAGTACAATATCAGCAGTTTGAATCTAACTGATGCTGGACGATATACTTGCTCCTTCTTTCTTAATGCCACAAAGAACAATGATGTCATAGATCACAGTGAAACAAATTCTAATTTTACTGATATCATAGTCATGCGTAAGTCATTTTATTAACTGTAAAAATTTCATTTTTATTTAGTTCCTAAAGGTACAATTCCTTCAATAACTCTTAGTCAAGATGATCCTCTATTTGGTGTTGGTAGTAATGCTATCTTGAGCTGTTCAGTTTATTATGCCTACTCCTCATTCATTGATGTTGATACAACAGTACACATTCAATGGAAGCATAATGGAGTGTTATTGAAATCACAATTAACTGTAAATACATTCACTAA